TTGTTGTGTATTCTTGTTTGCCACTTTGTTTTACATCAAAAGCATCATTACAAAATTACTTCGTCACAAAAAAAATCTAAGCCGATTCAAGTACTTTTTTAAAATTGAATTCACTTATATTAAAAATCGAGTATTGTAATCTCAAAAGAAATATGCTATTGATCTTCTTAAAGGAATGGGTCTTCTTGGTTGTAAGGATGAACAATGATTAATTGATCATCTATCTCAATATCGAATGTTAATTAGGACAAACTTTTCATTCGTAGTTGGAGAGGTGAGTCAACATACAATCTATTATAAGTAAGCATTGAGAGGTTGTTCTAGGAATTCTTGGATATCTCAAAAAGTACACCTGATATGGTGCTATCTATTATATCTTATGAGCACCTGAATATTGCAACTTTCTCAGATGTTGATCATGTGTGTTCAGTTAAATATATGAAGTCAACCTTAAGCTATTGTATATTTGTTAGAGGTAATTTCATTTAAAAAAAGCAAGACACGGACAATAATGGCCAGATCAACGTTGAATTTGAATATAAAGATATGACTCATTTTACTTGTCAAATAATGTGGGTGAAAACAATTTTAGGAGAGTTCGATTTTCCTATCACCCAACCTGTGACACAATATTGCGACATTGCCAAGTATTATATTTACATGGAAGAACTAAACATAATGAATTTAATTGTCATCACTACGAGATGATATGCGTTGCAAGAAAATTATTCTTATATTTCTAATTTAGAATAAGTGATGGATATCTTTTCCAAAGTTCTGAATTATCTATCTTTTTCATGTTTGTATAACAACATGGAGCTAACAAATTTGAATGCTAATGTGTTAGAAGGTGATTTTATGAGAGATATTTGATTTTATATCATCATTAAGAATTTGTTTTTTTACTTTTTTTATCATCATTAAGAATATCGTTCTCTTTTATTTGTTTCATATTTCTATTCTCTCATATGCCATGCCCATATATAAGCACGACACATTTAATCAATAATATAATAATCTTCTTTATTCTCAAAGCTTGATCCTCCCATGTACATTCAGCTATCCATTTGTTCGGTATCTTCACACATGCAGTGATGTAGCACATCATATGAATGAAGATAATCAATCTAAAAGCCCGATTAAAGGAGCTAAGATTAAACCTCAAGGAATATATCAAAGTAAATGCCCAATTACAAGAGCAGAATAAAGAGCTCATAGTTTTAATTATTTTAAATGCAATTTATATTTTATTTTTCTTCTAGAAATTATATGGCGGTGGAATCAAAATGTGCAAGAAAAGTTATAAAATAAGAAGATTTGTTATAGAAGTTGGTTTATATGTAAAAATTTCTGATAATTGAGAAAGATATAAAGAGGCCCGTAAGGAGTCTAAGAAAATAATGTGCGATGTAAATATTTTAGCTTTTAATGATTTATATAATAGATTAGATACTAAGGAGGACCAAAGATATATGCATGGGTTAGCCAAATAAAGAGATATGAGTAGTAAGGATTTAGTTCAAGTGAAATGTATTAAGGATGAATATCAAAAAGTGATTTTATTAGAAGATGATATTCAACAAAGATTTTGAGAATGCGCTGGACTTTAGTGACCTTCGCACTCTAAATAAAAATAAAAATTTTTGTTTTTAAAAGCGTATTAGTAAAATAGTTCAGAATGCCGGCCATTTAAAAGGAGCATAATATTAAGTTAAGTGTTGCAGAGATGAGGATGCTCAGATGGATGAGTGGCCTTACTCTTAGAGATATGATACAAAATGAGCATATACGTGAAAAGGTTGGAGTAGCTCTAGTGGAAGATAAGATTTGAGAGAGTCACCTTAAATGGTTTGGCTACATAAAACAGTGGCCTTCCGATGACCCGGTTAGGAAAGTGTATGTATTGGATTTGACTTATGTTAAGAAAGGTAGAGGTAGACCTAAAAAGACTTGGTTAGGAAATATTAGAAATGTCCTTTCTTTATTAGATTTAAATGAGAATTTGACTCTTAACAAGACATAATGGAGAAAAAAGATTCATGTAGCTGACACCACTTAAATGGGATAAAAGCTTGATATTATTGTTGTTGTTGTTGCTAGAAGTTTTTGTGGTCAACCTTGAAATATTAGATAGGGATGAGATATTAAAATAAGGGGTAGTTGGAACTTCTCTTTAATGCCCAAAAACCCCCTCTTTCCCTCCCCTTTTTTCTTTATTTTTCTTCTAAAGTTATTCTTGTAATGTCTATAAATATGGGAAGATATGTATTGTAATTTTTAGTTTTTGATTAAGTAATTTGTGGAGAAGTTTTCTTCATTTGTTTGGTGCTTAGTGGCTTCAAGTGCGTGTCTTTTCTTTGGTGAGATTATGTAGTTATCTTTATTTCTTTATGTTACTTACAAATCCTTTGAAGCACCTACTCTAAACTATCACAACTTTTCTTCCACTTCATAAGCATCTCCTAAGACCAATAAACCAACAACCAAATTCATAAAACCCTTCTAAAGCCATCAACCCAAATAGGGAATACTTGGACCTAGTATTATTTCCTACACTTCAGATACTTTTAAACTCCACTAAACTCTGCCATCAACTTCAGATCACAAGTTCACATCCTAAGTGATGGGGACATCAGATCGTGGAAAGTTTATCAGAGGCGTGGCCGCCGATCTACGGCCACGATCGAGTCATTGTATTTATGATTTATGTCATGTATTGTTTTTATTTTCATGTCGTTGTATTTTGTTTTATGTCCTTTTATTTCCCGTTGTACCCTTCTAAGTAAAGGGGTGTCGTATGTAAGCCTCGAGGTCATTTTAGTCTTTTATTTCTTGAGACTCATGTACTAGGCTATTTATAGCCTGTTGTTTTAGTTTTCAAGGGATGAATGATTATTATGAGATTTTCTTACACTTTTGTTTTGAGAGCGTTTGAGAGTTCTTGGATAGAACTTTGGAGAAATCCCTTAGAGAGGGAGAGCGGATCACCCACCAACCTTGGAGACGGCCGGGTTTGTGGTTTTCCACTTTACCTTTTGTTTTTCCCCTTCCACCTCCATTATCGGGCAACTGTACCTCCAAACCACCTCCATCTTCTAGACATCATCCTCTCCTCACTAAGCTCCACAAATTTTCCCCTTTCCACAAGCCGCCGGCCACCCTACCCGAGCCTCCTCCATCCCACCGCCAGCCCTCCTTTGGTCCATCAATCCTTCCCCACTTGGCATCAATTCCTTCCTAATTTAGATTTCATAAATTTGGTAACTTTTATTTGAATAATTCAAATTAATTTGAATTTCAAATAGTTACTTAAATTATAAATCTTATTTTAGGAAACCTTTTCAATTAATTAAGCATTAATAGCCACATTAATTCCCCCCCCCCTCTCATTAAACCCCTTTTAAATTATTTCCTAATCAAAACTCCCCACTTAGGAAATAATTTCAAAACCCCTAATTCTCTCCTTGGCTGAAAATTCAAGACCCCCATCCCATAATTACTTTCCAAATCCTAATTCAAGAATTTGGAAATAGATCCCATCCCATCCCCTTAGTGCCGCCGGCCCCCTCTTCCCACCCTCTGCCTCTCTCTCTCTCAACTCCCTCTCTCTCTCCATTTAACTCTCTACGAGAATTTAGGGGTTGGATTCCCCCTCTTAAAGTTCTCTTCCTTTGATTCTCAAAATCTGAAATTTTATTTCAGATTTTGAAAGGGAACACGTTCTCCGCTCCTCTATTTTACGTGGATGAGAAACTTCTTTCTCTCCACAATAGTGAAGAAGGAAGCATTCCTTGAAAGAATGGTCTCCTAGCACCTATGAATGGCGGATCCGGAAATTGAATATGGTTAAACCTACGACGAGGACGACTTCGTGGATATTCTCCGGTCAACTTTCTTTGACGTTAATCCAAGGATCGATTTTACCGTTGAAGATTACATCGAGCGCATTCTGGACACTTTGGTGGAAGCAGTTGAGGAACAACTTGAAGGCATCGAGTGAAGGATCACCGCCGATCTTTGACGAAGGTCTTTCCTACTCCTTTTCTTCGTATCTTTCTTAAGCTTACTCTCCGTTGTAAGTGATTGCAGTCACGAAGCTCCATCGACTTCTGCTAAAGCTTTGTAAACGTAGGGTTTTGAGCATACTTCTTTGTTACTGATTCTCGTTGTTAGATTAGGGATTCTTATTGAAGCCACTATTCTGGCATAACGTTATTTACTGAGTTATTTTGAAATTTTCAAATCTCTAGTTATGTAATTTAGCTTAAGCGTGTGTGACCCCTTTCTCGTTTATTCGTTGTTTTAAAATGCTAATGGTTTCTTCATTGTTGTTCTAATCAAAGTTGCGCAACTTCTAAACAATATCACTGCATACTTACATAGTTCTGCATCACTAAGCTAACATTATACCGTCTTTTATAGCCATTTATCTCATATAAAAGTCACTATCTAAAGTGATCTTCCAAATCTGTCCAACCTTGCCCAAACTAGATTAGTCTTGAAACTTCTATTAATATATCTATCTAGACCTTTAATCACTACATAAACTCCTGAACATTTATCTGATTATGAAACTTAAGATTCATAGCCATTTTGTGCCATTAATATCACCAAAAGGCTATCCACAATCATCACATAGTCACCATTCCATCTAAAACATTATGTGATAAATGAATGGCAAACATTTTTTACTATAGAAAGAACACTTAACTACATACATTATTTGAGATTATTCAAGGTTTGTTTTTGAACAAAACTAATTTTGGTAGTTAATAATCGAAGTCATCTCTATCCATTATCATTAATTTGTAGTTAGGATCTGCTATTTTTATTAATTACCATGTGCACCAAGGCAGGTTGATTATCTCATCTTTTATTTGTACTAATGTAGTTGTAATATCTTTCTAGTGATAAAAAAATGAATTATGGCGTAAAATCTTTTTAGCTATCTAAAGAACAAATTATGCAAAACTTCAAGTTTTCCATCATTGCTATCTTAGGTGCTCTTAAAGTTCAAAGTTCCTGAAGAGCAAATAGATAAACTAACCAGGTGGCATCGGATTGCTTTGGTACGCAAGCTGTCAAGTGAGCAAGCAGCCACAGGAGTTAAAGTGGAAGCCATGACCTTAAGCAAGTTTGCACGCGGACAAAGAATGTCATTTCTTCAACTTCAGCAGCAGACACGAGAAAAATGCCAGGAAATATGGGATCGACAAGTTCAAAGTCTCTCTGCCACTAATGATGATGAAAATGAGAGTGATTCTGAAGCAAACAGTGATTTGGATTCTTTTGCTGGGGACCTTGAAAATTTACTAGATGCGGAAGAGTTTGAAGAGGAGGTGGGAAACGGTGATGCAATGGTTGAAAAGGCAGATGTTGCTAAAGGACTCAAAATGAGAAGGTGCCATTCATTTTCTCAAACAGAAGAAGAAATTGAAGATGCTAAAGCAGAAGCAGCTTTTATCCGCAGATTGCTTGATGGTAAGGAATTAAGTTATTTTGTGTAACTTCTGAAATTATTTGTGTGGTTGAGATCTTGTTATTGCTAACGACCATGATCATTGGAAATCCATGGTCAAGAACTTCATTTCTTGTCCTGCGTGTTATCCTCAAATAATACAAAAAGATAAAAAAGTATGTTATCATAGGCACCATAATGTGAAATTGATACCTTTTTTCAGGTATTTATTATTGATCTATTTGCATTAAACATAAGATTTCAAACTTGTTTTGTACATGCATTTGATTAGTTTGAAATATTATGAATTGCACAAAAATCTTTGAACAGTGTATATTATTATTGTCATGACTTCTGAACTGATCGTACAAAATACATCAGTCTTTTTGATTCTTTTGAGTACTTATAATGCTATAAATATTGGTGCATTTTTTTCCAGTAGGAAATTTGCAATAAGCATCTGATGCAGCTTTTAGAGGATTTACGAAGGTCTGGCTGACTAAAAAAAAGGAAAGAGATATATTCTTAAGCTTTTGGTTATTTGCACCGGTCTTTTCTCCCGATTCTCTTAAAGAGATTCTTTGAACTACATTTATACTGCTTATGATCATAACAGAAATCTTCCTTTAGTTGAAGTGGACTAGTGTTGAATGGATGCAAGTATTGTCTATTACTAAAATACTGCTTTAATTCCTGTAAAGGTAGAGAATAGATGATAAGTTTCACTTTATTTTGATATCCTTTTTCTGTTCAGTAGGGTACTTGAGAATCATTTAGTATTGGATATTATATGACATGGCTTATTTATTCATCTGAGCGTGTTCTTCCATTTCATGCCTTTGTGTTGCAAATGTTTTATAGCTCAGGGTGACCTATAACTACTAACTAGCGTTTCTTGAAAGCTATGTAGTTTGTACAATGTACCCATACCATGTAATTAGTTGAATGATTATTAGTGCTACAAGAATTGTCTAGATTTGAAGAGGGAATATTTTTTAAGTAGTTGAAAGACATCCTTTGATGAATAACATCGATTAGTTGATGGATAGCCCAAGATTTAACAGGAACTTGAGACGAATGTACAATATGTAGTTGAAGGATAGTAAGATTAGAAGAGAAAATAACCTTTTGATTAGTTGATGGATAATTCAAATTTGAGGATGGAGTAATACTTAGTTTAAGAATAAGTGCTATTGAATACCATTCTTTTAGTTGTTGGACAACTCAAAATTTATAAGAAAGTTGTGAGAAAAATCCTTTAGTTAGCTGAAGCATAGGCAGACTTGAGGAGTCAATACCAAGATAATTTTTATTCAACGGAGAACTTTTTGATTTCTTGAGGGACAACCTTTGATAAATATTCTTCAATTAATTGAAGGAGACCCAATAATTTAGAAGGAACTTGAAAGGAATACTCTTCAAGTATTTGAAATATAGCTAGATTTAAGGAGTTAATGCCTTTTAATTAATTAAATAATAATCTAGATTTGTGGAGGGAATCTACTAGTTCATTAGTTTAAATATTAAATTTTGGCGAATAATCTCCGGTTTGTTGAAGTATCAGCCTTTGATGAATATTCTTCAATCAATTGAACGAGTCCTATGCTTTAAAAGAAACTTGAAAGGAATACTCTTTAAATAATTAAAATATCGTTAGATTTATAGAGTTAATACCCTTTACTTGATTAGAGAATCTAGATTTGAAGAGGGAATACTCTTTGATTAGCTTAAAGATAATTTTTGGTGAATAATTTTCGATTAGTTGAAGAATATCTCTAGATTTAAAAGGATTTTGAGAGGAATACCCTTCACTTAGTTAAAGTATCTAGATTCAAGGAGGGTATACTCTTTTTGAGAAGGCCATACTCTTTGTTTAGTTGAAAGATAACATTTCGTGGATATTTTTCTGTTGAAGGACAGCTCTCAATTTAAGAGGAACTCAAGAGGAATACCTTTTAGTTAGTTGGAAGATAATCATTTTTGAGAAGAGAATACCCTTCAAATAGTTTAAGGATAGTTCATGTTCGACTATGAAGCTCTCTTTAATTAGTTGAAGGATAGCTTTTGTTAAATACCTTTAGGTTAGTTGAAAGATTGCTCAATGGATTTAAAAGGAGCTCAAGAGCAATACATTTCACTTAATTGAAGGATAACCAGATTTGGCAAGAGAATATCCTTAATTGATAGTTTTTCGAGATTTGCGGTGGGAACAGTATTTGGTTAGTCCAAGCATAGTGTTTAGTGAATACCCTTCGTTGAGATATATACGAGATTTAAAATGAATTGGAGAGGAATACAATTTAGTTAGTTGAAAGATAGCTTGGTTCCATTATTTAATATCGCTCAGTTTGTTGAATGATAGTCTAGATTCAAAGATGAATGCTATTTAGTTGAAGAATTGACTTCCATGAATACAATTTTGTTGGTTGAAGGATAATACAAGATTTAAAAGAAAATCGTGATGAATACCCTTTAGCTAATTGAAGGATGGTCAAAATCAAGAAAAGAATACCTATCAATTAGTTGGAGGATATTCCATATTTGAGGAGCGAAAAACTTCTTTGGTTAGTTGAAACTTAGCCTTCAGTGTATGCATTTTTGTTTTGTTTAAAAGATATCCTAATTTGGATGGAATGAAGCTTGTTGTTAAGGTAATTCTTAAATTTTGTTATTGTGTTTTTGACATCAGTATATAGTACAAAACGATTAATAAGATCTAACCATTCAATTAATTCAGTTTAAATAAACTCTGTTTCCCATTGTTTTTATGTATTTTTAAATTCATTATCATTTATGGTCAAATTTTCATTTATTTTTTTAAAATTTTAATTAATTTTAAAATTTAAGATTTTTTTTTTTTTTACAAAAGGATAAAAACATATCACATTTATTTGATAAAGGAAATAAGATTTAAAGAAGTGTTTTGAGTGGGACAAACTTTTAATATAAGAGCCAAATGAAATGCATGTCTAATATTGTTCCATGATCTCATGGTTGGGAGTTACAGTATGATTATGAATCATTTTGTCGAAGCCCAGCTTATGTGAAATGTTTTAAGGATAAGAATGCCTTCATCTTTAATTAGGGGTCATATCTTTTATATTCAGGATTTTTGTGTTCAGACTTTCATTATTGATTTGCATTTAGAATCTTTGTGTGAGGAATAGGAATCATGCCCATGATCTCATGGTTGGGATTTATGGCATGATTATGAACCATTAGGCCGAAGCCCAACTTATGTGAAATGTTTTAAGGATAAGAATGCCCTTCATCCTTATTTAGGGTTCATGTCCTTTATATTCAGGATCTTTGTGTTCAGACTTCCATTTTTTATTTATGTTAGTGAATTGAATGTATTCCACGAAGAATTTCAATAGCCTTCGGTTTGGTTTCTTAGTTTTCTTTCTTTAATAAATCAATGTGTTAAGAACTTGACATCACCAGCTTGAGAATTTGCTATTTTGATCTCTTTTTGTTTGTTTCTATTGATTTTGTAATTCTATTGTGTGCCTTAGGTTAATAATTTTGTCCTTGTAAGTTAAATCACTTTTTAATCAATCACTACATATAGTTTCTTCATTTGATGTTTATAAACTAATATTACAATTTATTTTACGTTCCTAAACAACTTATCACACATATTATAGCGCTTTAAAAAAAAAATTATAGCGCTTTTAGTTTCAAGATATGCCTCTCATTTTTCTTTTTATTAATTTGAGTCATGAACTTTTCGTTGCTGCTAAAGTGCCATGTTCTCGGGTCATTTTTTTTTTCTTCGTAAATTAATTTACAGATGATGAATCTGAGATTGAGAAAAAGAAGAAACCTATTGGAATAGAAGTTGGCCGTCCTCAATTAGTTACCGAGACTGCTGGCCCTGCCAGGAAAGTGGGTACTGCAGTCAGGCAAATCCTTAGCAGTTCACATCCTGATGGTTCACATACCTCAAAAGAACTCATGACCCACGAATCTAGGGAGGTAGTTCTATCTTCTTTCTCTCTCTCTCTCTCTCTCTCTCTCTCTCTCTCTCTCTCTCTCTCTCTCTTCATCACCTTTTCATTTAGCAACATTAAAGAATTGTACTACTATCATATTTGTTGTGAAGAATGGTGATGCTTATTAGGCGATTAGCTCAATTTGAAAAATTTTTAAGGCTCCAACCAAGCAAAACTTTTTGTTGATTTAATTGCCTACTTTTATTGCAGGTTGAAAACTCTCCGGCTGAAACAAATTCTTGGAAATCAAAGGCTAAAAAGGGAGTTGTAAAAAATGAAATGGCTGTTGGATTAGGAAAAAAAAACTACAAAACATTGAAAGAAGGAACTAAGGTAACAACAATAATGCTTTCCTTGCCCTTAAATTTTATATGTTGAGACTTCTGTGGCAACGATAATAGAAAAACGTACCATTTTTGGTCAACTGATTTATTGTATGCAATAATACCTTATCTACATCATTTTCTTCCCTGTAATATATGAACCAGGTTTTTAAGGAAAAGAAACATGCTGATAGAAGAGAGAGTTTTGTATGTGGAGCTTGTGGCCAGGTGTGTAGTACACCATATACAATGAGAATGTTTCTTCAAGTGGGAAGTACTCTTCATGTTAACTGATACTGTGGTCATGAACCAGCTTGGACACATGCGGACCAACAAAAACTGTCCGAAGTACGGAGAAGACGCAGAACCTTTGGAGATAGAGAATGCGTCAGTCAAATCTCACATGCCAGACGGTGCGAACAGACCTCAACTGAAAGTTTTAAACAAGAAAATGATGCCCACATTGTCGAGGGAAGCCGCTGAGGACACTACAGAATATCTGGAAAAGCATGGAATGGAATTACAAGTCAAGGTTCCCCCGCTTAAATTCAAATGTGGTTCTGCTGACAAGCCAAGTGAAAAGACCTTGTCTGTATCTCAGTCATTTGATAAGCTGGTTATTGGAAGCATGAACCGTGAGGCAAAGCAAGCTGGGAAGAATTTAATAATTCCAATCAAGATGAAAGGTGAGAATGTACTCCCAGATACACCAAAGCCAACCGTTAGAATTCTACCTCCCCAAGGCATGGATAAAGAACCTCCAAAGAAAATTGTCATAAAACAACCAAAATTTACAACTAACAAGCATGCCCAAGATTTTGATATTGCAATAGATCATGAATCTAGGAAGATGAAGAGAATTGCTGAGCTATCACCAAGTTTTGACAAGCAGAGAAAGCTTGAGAGTCATCTTTTTTTGAATGATGAAATTGGTGTAAATCGTGCATATGACAGAAGAATAAGAGAGGAGAAAGGTAGAAACATGCAGAGACTTGAAGAAGAGAGGATTAGAAGGATGATTGAGGAACGGAGAAATTATGAAGCAGCAATTAGAAGGGAGGAACACCAACATGCTAAGAAAAAGAAAGCGAAGAAGAATAAAAAGAAGAGACCTGATTTTAGTGATGAATATTTAATGGATCATAGACCATACAGAACTGACCGCAGGTTTCCTGAAAGGGATCGAGCTGCAAAGAGAAGAAATATAAGTGATACGGGTCTTCAAGAATTTGCACCACAAACAAAGCGACGCAGAGGAGGGGAGGTAATGAACTTAAAATACGTTGTGCTGGTTGATTTTTAGCTTAGTTTTACATTTGAAATTGGCGACTATCGAAATATAAACTTGAACTTGTGCTTGTTCTGGTTTTGAACTAACAATTAAGCTTCTGATTCCTAGGATCAAGTTTAAGGTTCTAATCTTTTTTAGCTAATTATTTTATTTTTCATTTATATCGGGGTTTATTGTTTATATTTTGATAGTCGCAATATATTATCTACTCAATTTGTTTGAGAGTAAATTTAGGCTTTGTTTGGGACAACTTTCTCACTGCTTCTATAAACAGCTTTCTAGTACAAAATTTTTAACTTTTATATTAAAAAATTGTTTTAAGAAGCTGTAAGAAAGCCATCCCAAACGAAACCTTAATGTCTGATATTTTTATCACCATTTTGCTGATACTAGTGTTCAAACTTTAGGTGAAAGGCCTTGAAGAACCCTAGTTATTCAAGATATGTGTTTTAAGTTTTAACCATATATTAGGAGTTGGTCATGTTTTTGGTTAAACCCTAAAACAAACTAGGTACATCTAACTGCTATTTGGAAACACATTGAACTGGATTCTGATCTTGCAGGTTATATTAGCAAATATTCTTGAAAGCATAGTGGACCAGCTGAGGGATAACCTTGAAATATCCTATCTGTTCCTTAAACCTGTAACCAAGAAGGAAGCTCCTGACTATTTTGATGTGATAAAATCTCCCATGGATCTCTCCACCATTAGAGACAAGGTGAGGAACCTGGAGTACAAGAGGACAGAAGATTTCAGACATGATGTGTGGCAGATAGCTTTTAATGCCCACAAATATAATGACAGGAGAAACCCTGGCATTCCTCCATTAGCAGATCAGTTGTTGGAGCTCTGTGACTATCTTATTCATGAGAAAGATGAGATCTTGACTAATGCTGAAGCACAAGTAGAGCCTCCAAATATTTGAAAAGAATTCTATGATCAAATCTAGATCTTTGATGTGTATGTATAGTGTTATCATTAGGGTTTTGATTGCGTGGGTTTTTTTGGTTGAGTAGAAATTTTATGTAAAGTAAAATGTTTGCATGTAAAGTGATTTTATTTATTTATTTATTGTAGTTGAAATTATTTTATTAAGAGCGTCTCCACCCGAACTCTAAATGGTGTCGCTGGTTTGCTTCGTTCGAACACCAAAAAAATCACTAATCAGGCGAGAGTAAATAATGCTCTTTCACCTAATAATTTTTTTAGATAAAAAAATTAGGTTATTATTTTTAAAATTTTAAGCGAAGAATTTTATTATTAATAATTAATAAATAGTTATTTATAAACCCATTATTTTTATTGAGCAATATATATATTAAAAATTTTAATAGGTTTTAATTAAAAAAATTGAGAAATATAAATAAATGATTAAAAAATATAAAATAAAATATAAGAAAGAAATTTTTTTTTTATGCTAGAAAATAGAATTTAATTGGAGACTAGTTGTATTATTATATTTTGAAATGGAAATTAATTTTTTTAGTTGAAGTGTAGTTTTCGCGAATTGTATATCTTGGATATGGCTTAGTTCTCTCAATAATTTTGTTTGGTTCTACAATCAATTTATAAATATTTTACTTCATTTTGTAAACGAAATTATTTTATCGTATTAAAATATACTGACATGTCTCAGTCGCATCAGGATTTATCTTTTTCGAACAAAGGCTAATATTACATAGAGATTTTAAACAGTAAAATAATATGATAAATTTAATCATGACTCATGAGCATTAATGACAGAGGTTTATGGTTTAGCAATTAGATTTCAATTAATTAGATGAATGGAACGCTAAATGGACTTGTTATTAAGTTGAGCACTTATGAAGTCAACATCCATAAAAAATCAATGAACTCAAAAATAAAATAAAATTTGATTGAGATTGCATAATTTTACCAATAATTTATTAAATTTATTGAACTGCATTTTCTATTTGTTCGATTTGTCCAAAAATAGAAAAAGATTTCTAATTAAATGACTTGTGAAAAGATAATTTGAAACATCTAATACATGGACCAAAACATGCACAAATAAAATTGAATTGGGCTACAATAATTGACCACAATTACTTCAGGTCAAGCCATGAGAAGATAATCATCCAAAACTTCACTATTTTCTTCCTTGAATTACAGAACTTACAATAAAAATTAGAAGATACCATCTTAATGACCAATAAATTATAACAAAAATTAATGATCAGCATTATTCTAAACAGTCTTTTAAAAACACAGAAACACAATAACCATAAAAAAAATCAAAATTGACACCTATAAACAAAAATACCGAGCAATACCTAGCAATACCGGGTTGCCATGGATTTAAAAAACGCACGTGTGACATACCCACCATTCGCCGGATCGAGTTCGCAGTTTTGTACCTGCTATGTGGCGCGATCTTAGTGCCGGCCAAACGTAGCTCTGCGTCCGTTCACCATAAGCCACCTTGACTTCTGCATGAAGAGAGCTTTGCAAAATAAGCCCCACAAAACTGTAATTTGTTATCTTAGCAGGCAAAGTTCATCTCATCTTTAGTGCTTTTGATCCACCACTAAAAAATAAATCAGAAACTGTAATTCCAAACAACTAGTTCAGTTTATTAGTATATTTAAGAAGCATGTCAGGAGATCTGTATATCTTCACTAGTGTCGAATAAAGAACTTCTTCGACCTCCAGCTCACCCTCTGCTCGAGCAGCATAAATGCCCTCACAGATAGCAATCAGCCTAAAGAACAGTAAACAGTCAGAATGTACTGAGAAAAAACAAGAGGAGAGAATCATATAGCAATATGATACAATAATCAAAGCGTAGCAGCTTAAGCTTTTGTTTATTGTTGCATAATAAAAAAGAAATTATGGTTGAAGGCATTTCCTAAAGATTGCTAAGCATTTTTATCAACTATTATATGAAAAAGAGCTAGAATAATGGAGATGGCGTTGAGAAGATAGAACATATGATGAGTAATTTTAATGGATGTTATATTTTAACACGAGTGAATGAACATAATGATCACCAGACATTTTAGGTGTGCTAATTTTAATCCTAATTTTTTCTTGGCGTCCAATCAGTCAATTAACTTGTCAAATCTAAATCTTTTTGGTCCTTTCATCATTTCACCTGTCAGGATTGACAGAAGCTTGGATTTCAATATAAATAGTGATTTTAACCAAAGAAACTACTAGGATTTCATGACTATAAAGTCAATATTTATAGAAGCTAAAGCCATCCATAGAAAACAGTGAAACAAGAAAAAAAAGGGAGGTGCTGTAATACCCTATGATAAAACTTCAATATTTCTTAAATAAATTGCACTCTAAAAATACCAATATTCACAACAATCATAAAAAAGCATGTCACTGTATTCTACTCGTCAAATGGATCAATTTGCTATATAGAAGTAAATGCTAATTCACAAAGATGTGAAAGTTATTGAATTAAATCTTATTTGAATTTTATTGTGGCAAAAGTTAGAAAAAAATCAGAATTCTCACTTAGGGAGACATGCATTGATGGTGGCTTAGGGTAAAATCAATATTGAGGCATAGTGACCTCAAGAGGCAATGCAACCTAAGAAGCAATGATACCCGATGTGACCTCAAGATAAGTGCTGATTGAAAGTATGAAGGATGTTTTTTCATGAATGTTTGGGATTTTTTGGTTACTCTATAAATATAAATTAGTTAATGAAAATTTTGAATTGCTTGGGCTTCAATAGATGCTTTGATGTTTTTCAATAATGTAGCAACGAATATTGTACAAAATATGAATGTAAGATAACTTGTTTAAATTCATCTATTGCGACCCACATCAATTGGTAAGAAGGTCAGCGAGGGGCATGACAAATGTCCCTTCCCCATCAATGTTTAGAGTAAACACCATTTAAATCCTAATTTTCCAACCCAAGAGTTTTTATTTCCACATGATATGAGAATATTAGTAAAACTTAAAAGAATTTTTTTATAAAATTACAATTAGGCTGCTATGTTGTATTTTTTTTGGTTGCTATGTTGAATGAATCTAAGTGTTTGGTGATAATAAAGTCACTAAGAGTAAGCTGCATTTGATAAAAATGAGAATAAAAAATGTGTATGTTAGAAAGTCAAGTTGATGAATAATTATCTAAGGAACAAGAAAAATAAAATTATTGAAAAAAGAATATTGCAAAAAAAATTTAAATAGGTTTGGATGCACATATATTATTTTCTTAAAATGGTCTGACTAAATGACCAAAGAATGAGAGAACGTAAAGCAATGTTTAGGCTGCCTCCATTGTGATTTGCAACCAGACTGACATTTTGATGAAGAACAGAAGAAGAGCTCTCACATGCATACACTTTATTATTGTGCATGGCACATATATTCTAGAAGAATTCATCGTTGTGATTTGCATGAGCTGTAATTCAAAACCAATATCGCGAAGTCAAGATGATAGGTGATGCCGTGCAAGAGTGTTGAAGTAGCACAATTGAGACTAATTCAAGAAGGAAAATTTTTAGCGTTCTTTTCTTTTTGTTCCTCCTAGTTTTCTTTTTTACCTTGCTCCTTAATGAGTTTAGTTTGAAACCACGAAAAATTATGAAATTCCATATACACACACACATATAGACTATAGAATGTTGAGTTAATGCATATGTTGGGGATACAATTGCGTATTGCTATCAAATACTTAATGAGTTTTACTTTGAATTTTCAACTTTTTAAGATTGTTATTGTCAAAAGATGATTATGATTGGATCAATGTTAGCTTGTATAAAAAGATCATATAAACTTAGTGCATATAGTTTTTTCATGATAAATTACTGATTAATAGTGATTATGATGGGGTTAATGGATGAATGATTGTTAAAAACATGACTTCACTTCTAGTAGGTCTCACCTTATATTTATTAAGTGTGATGGTTCTCCATCTTGGGCTTAAAAGGACTTTTGATGTGATACACGAATAGTTAAATTGATGTACAATTGATCTTGCACCTTATTTTTTTGTTTCCCTAATTAATGATTCAATCCCAATGGATTATTGCATTAGAATCATCTATGCAATGCTTTACCTTATGAATTGAATACGCACTTTAGATGCTAGGATTTTGTTTGAGTTTAATTGCTTAAAAATTATGTCGTTAGTTTGAAATTTGAATAAGATGGAGAGAATATAATAACCCATGTTTAGCTTTCCTAAAGTAAGCTAGGACCACGCATTCTTATCATCTCTATATTAAGGGAACACACTGCCTCATAAGTCCCCATCTAGACTAAAAGGAAAAAAAAAATTTTGAGCAAGATAGCAAGTGACTAAAGCAAGGGCGAACAAAAGCATGTGAGAACTAGCATAGTTGCATAAGATTAGGTTGAGTGAAACTTGCAGTGTGATCGTTCAAACTGAAGCAAGATAATGAGTGATGCCGAGTAAAGTGGTTGAGGTTGAGTTAAGAACGAAATTTTCTAGGGCACTTCTTTTTGTTCCTCTTTCATACCAAGCAAGATAACTCTAATCTAATTTTCTTTTTGTGCTTGATCCTTAATGAGTTTGATTTGAAGCCTACAGAAATTATGAAATTTCATAAATATGCATGTATATGCATTCAGGCTAATATACTACTGAGTTAATGTATCGATGTTGGATATCCAATTGTGTATTTATATATTAGATTTAATGGATTTTACTTTGATGATTCAGCTTTTAAAAATACCATAATTAAAAGATTATTATGAGTGGATTGATGTTAGTTTGTATCAAAGACTGCATGCACTTAGTGTTCATAATTTTCCTGTGCTAAAATACAAAACCATTAGTGAGTATGTTGGGGTTAATTATGTAATATAAGTTAGAGAAATTTTTAAAAAACATTGATTACATGTATGTGTTTTAATGGGATATATTTATTATTGAATGTTTGAATGTATGAAAAATCTAAATTCTTTTAAACCAAAGGTTTATGGAGCACCATGTGTTGGAGTGAGAAAAATCGGTAAAATGATTGAAATGCTAATTTACTTCTAATATATGTTTGTTGATTAAAGGATAAACATATCATTCCTTATTAGGAGTGTGTTTCTTGATATTTTACTTATTTATTCACAGTGGTTCACTTAATCATATTAATATGATGTGATAGTTAGCATTGACATTTTACTCACAAATTCCAAAAAAGCTTATGTACATCATGTTATGAATGCTCACAAATATATATTACTTGCATGAATCATGGACTATGTTTATATGTAGTTGAATTTGATCCTAATAAAGATAGTCTTCATTATGGAATCTTTAATATAATATAAACTTACATAATATATAAATGTATGATGCATATATTGTCGATAGAATTTTTTTTTATATTGACTAGTCAGACCAATAGGTCCATTGAGCATTTAAACTTTTGAGAAATCATTGGATTTTCATGAGATTTGTGTTGTATTAAATTATTATGAACTATACAATATATTATACAATAAATACTATTAAATGATTTTGTATTTAAAAATCTTAATCTTAAACATTGTCTATAATAATTATGATGTAATATACATTTTTTTTTTTAATTTTGCCTATTCCTAGCAAATATTTATGACCTAGCATTGTCAATCTTACTTTATTCAGTAGGTTTATATAATTTATTTCTTGCAAATGCATGCCTATTATTTTATGATTTTTAGATTATTAGTCGTGCGTCATCTAAAAAAGAGTTTCTAGACTCATGCTTCATGTTCATCATTAAAATGTAACCAAGGTTATAAATTAGTTAGTTGATTTTATAGCTATTTGTTCGTTGTATAAGTTATTGCAATAGTTAAAATCTATTTACTTTCTTGTAGATTACTTAGTAGGCGTTATTAGATTTAAATACTCTGATAATCTTATTGGTGGACAAATAATATTGAAATAATATATTTTACTTGGAATTGTTTCTTAGTTTTAAGCTTGCGTACTCTGTTTCTGTGATTGTCGTTTAGGCTAGATAGTGAGTTGTGACACATAATACAAAGATTATGAGAATATTGATGATGCATCAAATGACTGTGAATGATACTCTTTATTTACAATAAGTATTTTTTCCAAAAAAAAAAAAAAAGATAACTTATAGAATGATCGCTTTGCACACGTTTTATGTCTTGGGTCTATTGCTCAGAGTAATCCTAAAATAGATGGGGATATTATTAGTAGAGTTCAAGTTGAATGGTTGAAGTGGAGGAATGCATCGGGCTTGTTGTGTGATAGAGAAGTCCTCTTCAAACTTAAGGGAAAATTCAATAAAATGGTGGTGAGACCTGCAATGCTTTATGGGGCAGACTATTGGTCGCTAAAAGAGAAGCATGATATTAAATTAAGTGTTGCAGAGATGAGGATGCTCATGTGGATGAGTGGCTTTACTCCTAGAGACATGACACAAAATGAGCATATACATGAAAAGGTTGGAGTAGCTCTAGTGGAAGTTAAGATTAAAGAGAGTCACCTTAGATGATTTGGTCACATAAAATGACAGCCTTCCAATGACCCGGTTAGAAAAGTAAACGTATTAGATTTAACTTATGTTAAGAAAGGTAGAAATAGACCTAAAAAGACTTGGTTAGAAAATATTAGAATTGACCTTTCCTTACTAGATTTAAATGAGAATTTGACGCTTAACATGATACAATGGAGCAAAAGGATTCATGTTGCCGAACCCACATAATGGGATAAAGACTTGATGTTGTTGTTGTTGTCAGATAATGAACATTGGACATATACGGTAAAAACTTCAATTGGGAAACTAAATATATTTGGAAAATAATAACATCTAAATAAGTTCTTGTGCAAAATGAGAATAAACAATTAAAGCACTCCTTTTTTAGGGGTGGATAATGGCTGTGAAAATTAAATTTACCTGTCGCAAGATGGGAGATCCTCATAAGGTATTCTCATTCTTATATCAGAGCACTGCAGTCTGATAAAACGGCCAACTGCTAGAACAAAAGTTATGTAAAGACTCCATATACTGAACTTGCTTAGGGTTTCACCAAGAATGCCCTCTGGAAGTAGAAAAAATAAAAGGTTCTTAGAAATTCATTACTTCAAATTTCATTTAATATTTGCATAAAATTTTACAAGTTGCAGAAAAAGCAAGAATCAGTGTAATAAGTACAAGTTCAGAATCATCAAATTTTTTCAAATGTTATTTATTTACAACTAAAGATGGACAATGAATCAATAGGTTTGTGAGCAAGAGTTGGCTTTTGCATGTTATTCTTAAACAGCTACACCAGGAATAGATCAAATACTTAAAATGAAATAAACAGTGTTCAAGCAGATCTCAATTTACTTTTTTAACAGAATTTTGGTCTTGAAAGCATCATTTAGTCGAAACAGACATTCATAGCATCAAAATGCCTCACCTTAATAAAAAAATGGACTAATTAGTAGACATAAGCAAGTACAATACCAAATGTCCTTGTCAGCAATGCAAAAAGTAGGAAAATGATCATTAAGATATCCTGATTACATCGCCCTCCAATATTTTCCTAACAGGAAATCAACTTCGGTTTTCATATTGGCTACTCTGGAACTATAACAAGATAAACATTGTAAAACCCGAAAACGTCGTTTTAGGCTTCGCACGCTTTTCAAAGCGCCGCGACGAGTTTTAAGTGAAAATTTCAATGTTGTCGGATTTTGACGGGATTAATTTTAGAAAATAGAGCGTAAAATTCTGATCGTTTCCATATATAGAACCTATATTTAATTATGAGTATTTTAAGAATTATAAATTTTGGAAGATTAGAAATGCCAATTCTACCCCTAGGTGTTTCTTAAGCAAAATCTACTTAAGTGAGGGCATGAGAGTCTTTTGGCATGTCTCATTTCTCCCTATTAGGCAAACCGAAGCCCTCACATTCTCCCCCATTCGGTCTTTTGCCCAAACCGAGCGGAAGACAGAGAGGAGAGGCGGACGGGTAGGAGCGACGGGCTTTCGGACGACGGCTCCGGCGGCGGTTTCCGGCGGCCAATCTTTGGAGGAAAGCATAGGGAAACCAAGGGAAGGTTAAGGTATGTGTTTTGCAAGAGTTTCTCTTCCTTTCCTTGAGTTTCCCTAAAGAATGAAAACTAGGGTTTTGAGAAAAACTTGATTTTTTTTCTTTGAGATTTCTTTAGAAACCTTTTAGGGTTTGTTTGGATAAACTATTTTATCCCTACATGTTAAGGTTTCTCAAGAAAAGCATAAATATGAAATTTAGGGGTTTCTCGCCAACCCGGTCACGTGGAGGTG